TTAAATTTTGAATGAATATAGTTAAAAAGAAATTAGGAGGAATATAGTGGAAAAGAAAAACGACAATTCTCTCATACGTTAGATGCATATATATGGACATGTATTGTGAATCTACGGTGGATGTCCGCGGTTGCTTTATGAGATCGTGCATGCTGATTTTTTCCGTTTGTTTGAGCCTTTCTTTACCTTATTTAGCTTCAATGAAAGACGGTGCGCTTCGATTCTTTGCTTGTGGGTTGTCGAGCTTTTTGAACAGAGAATGCATCAATTCCTTACTTGACCATGCAGCCAGCTTTAGAAGAAAACCAAAAGCATCCAAATAGTAATAAGCTAGCTGCATCTTGGTTGTATATAGTACGAGCTGCTCGTTATTTTTGTTTCATCATCTCCGTCCTCTCTCACACCTCACCTGTTGTTTTTTGCACCCTCTCGACACTATCTCATATATGAATACAGTCTTCTCAACTTACCTTTTCTATAAAACGTTGTTAACAATTGTACCATTAATTGTACAATATTATTGTAGATACAGTTTTTTGTTTGGATTATTGTAATAAACATAGAGGTACATAGGGTGCGATGCATTCATTCGTATGGGTTTGTATATGTGTGTGTGAGCTTCTGCATGTGTTTTTTTCCCTCCAAAAATGTATAAAACAATGGAGTTCACCATTGAATGTGGTTGTTATGTACTCAATTGTAGTGTAGACGTAGAAAATTTCGCAACTTTTCCCCTATTTAAAGTTGACTTTGAAAGCTACATTTGTGACTGATGCCTTGCTCAGTGATTACTCACACTAACATCTTGAATTGAAATCATCAGTGTAGTTGCCAGCCATAAAGTTGTAGACCTCATCGAGCTATAATTCGAATATAAATTTTGTCTTCATCGAACTATAGTTATGAATTTATTTGCACCACAACTATTTATAAGGTCGACCTCACGAGCCACCCCTGAAATGCTCCTATTTTAGGGACTGTTGGCAATACAAACCACACTTGGAAATGCCCCTTTATAGAGGCGGTTCGTATCTTCGACTGCCCGAAGGAATAAGGGGGGCTTCTAAAGGAGGTTCACCTCACTAACTAACTCTGGAAATCAACACACTGCATATCAGTAATCAAACCATACATCATCTTTATTAATACACAAACAGTCTTACTACTTAATATTGATCTGACACAAGGGGAAGGTCAAAGGCTCTTAGTGCATCATTATAGTATTTATTACAATGGATGCTTCAGCAAGAGCGTAACCCAAGACTACAGGGTACTTGCGCAAACATGAATCTAGTCATTGTAATCCTCTTCAACATTGGCGGTGAAGTTCTAGTCAGGCTTTTCATTTGTGAGCCAACAAAGGGTGAGTAATTAAGGTACTCAACAAGCCCTAACGAAAGGTGTTAACAATGCATAGGGGATGTCATAAAGGTTTGGTTTTAGGCTTATCTTTATGAAAATGTGTAGTTTTTTCTTCAGTGGTGCATTTTGTAAATAGATGAAAGCTGGGTTTTGTGGAAACACACCACCCAGCTACCTGAAACACACCGCCACATGCCATTCAAGGTCAGGTGTATGTTTTAGAAATACGCCACCTAGCTGAAAATTTATTTGCACATAAAAGCAAATCATACGTATCTCACCACGATTTTTTTGTAGCAGAATAGCCCAATTATATAATCTCAAGTACGCTAGCAGCAATCCCGAGGATATTCAGCTCATACGCATTTGAACTTATATAAAACTGGTAGTATATCAAAATGTCCCTGAGGGACCCTGATTTAACAACTTTTACAATATAGGATCACATATCAGAATTTAGTACAACACATCACAAGACAGGCTGCAAAGGAGATAATGTTACAAACCAGAGTTCTCGAAAACAGAGTTATTACAATACAAAATTTCAAAGTATGATTCATTCTTCCGGGTCGATGTCTGACATGAACCCATTGCACAACACATATATCGTAGGTCTAGGGAAGTATAGAGTATGTAATTTCCAACTAGCATATATACACCATTTGCCTCTCTCCTGCATGATGCCTGTAGTCTATTATAGTTGCATGCATAGTTTCGTTGATCACTGGATGGAAACAAAATGGTTACAGCTTTGCATGTTCCAGGTGGGATTAAGTATCCACGCCTAAGCAGACAGAACTGGACGTAAATGGAGGAAGTCTTTTACTTGGTCGACAGACTCATGACCTACTATGGTGCGTGATCACACACTAATTTACTGTTCTTGTCGCCGGATTTGTTTTTTTTTCCTACTGTCCCTGATGAAGCAATGATATAACACTAGGAAGATTAAGATCTTATTTACTCCTTACAAAAACATGTCATTTATGATAAACCTTTGGTAAAACCTTATAATAAAAGCTACAAATATCAATAACCGTTAAATCTTTAGTTTGGAGACAGGCATGATATATATCTAGATTTGAACTGAAAACACTTGAAAAATATCATAAATTTGGAGGATACTAGAAACACATTCTAGAAAATATTAATAGTCAAATATATGCATCAAGGACTGTTTAGAGCCAAATGTGTCAAGCATTTGTGACTGGAATAAAAAACATGACAATAGTTATAAAAAATCCATCTGTACGACTTTACCAAAAAAATCATGATTCATGAACAATAGTTATAAAAATACATCAAGTATATACAATAGTAAAGAACCGATAACATGCCAGAAACTAAATTTTTTTTTGGTCGTAAATATATAGAGGTCACTGTCCTTTGTCCATCTTGAACAAATTGCACTGCTGAAGGAAAGGAAAAATAACTGAACTAATGCCTTAATGGCAGCTGCTGCACTTTAAACTGTAGGAGACTTTGAGCAGTTAATCGTTTGAAAAATGATGAATTGGAAGCAAAACAAAAGAGCAATCACATGGTTTCTATTTTGCTTTTGTAATCCAGTCTATTGTTCTTACATATGTTTTCATGAACTGCTTTTATGTACACATTTTGGGTAAGTACACAGGAATATGTGGCCATGCCAGATATACTATGTTGTGTGCCCCTCGTTGCTCTGCACTGCTGGTGTCTAGTGCAGTCTATTGCCCCTACTACCCTAATTACCAAAGACACGGGATGGTTCATACATAGTTTTGCTAATTGCTAAACAACAGCTCGGTGTGCTCGGTACTCGGTATGACGGAACAAATGATCAGAATAAAGACATTGTCCAATATGATTCACATAGTGTTCGCAACATACTAATATTTGCTTGTTAAACGTAGCAAGATTAACTTGTCTGTCAGATAAATAAATCTAAGTACAAGAAATTAAGTTATGTTAATTTGATCATTGGATATCACCTTCTCCAATTTTTTTTCACATTTTTATATTTACAAGCACATCTTGAGCAAGCACTGACAAGGCCTATGCACACGTGCCGCTGTCTTTTTTTTTTTTCTGAAGGTGGGGTGAAAGCGTATTCTGTGAGAGGCTCGGGGGTTATAATCCATGGGGTCAAATACCAGCGTTGGAAGAGAAGGTTGGGGAGTGGACCAAGGAGCACCCTGTGATATGGAACGTCGGAATTGGACCTGCAGCTTCGTTTGTGCCGACTCTTACCAGGCTCTTATTCGAGCGCACCAAGGATGAACTATATGGGCCCTACGACCACATTATACATGTGAGGCTCCCACCCGCTGCCGCAACAAGCACAAGCAGCAGTACAGCCCAGCATAGATTGGCATTTGAGGTCCTCATGGAAATGGAAAAAACCCTCGGGAAACTGCTGCCTGGTGACATCAGGCAACTTTTCACAGAAGAGAGCTACTTTGGCTACGGCGCAATCTCTGACTACCTGATGCTCCAGGTTTTCGGATGGCGGTACATTTACTGGTTTGGATCAGATCGGTCTATGCTTACGGCACAGTACGCAAGCTATGACCCATTGGACCTTTTGGTCCTCCAATAGTAGAAAGGATCAAAGAAGGCTTGCAAGGGAAGAGGCATCTACTGCTGATAGAAAACCTGCATGCTCCGATCTTACTGGACGTGTTGATTTTCACAATGGGTGAGCGGCGGCCGTCACCATTTCTTAGACCATGGATTGTCTCAACCACTTCCAAAGATGTCTACGCCAAAAGCGGAGACGCTAGTAATAAAGGTATTGTTGATCACTGGGAATTGCATTTAAGTCCATAATGTTACCATGCACTGCCTTTTGATGACCTTCATAAGCGAGATTGGACTGTGTTGATTAAAGAGGCGTTGCGGGATGCAGCTCGCTCCATCCATAGCATGCTCCAGGACCAAGGAGACATTGCGTTTTGGCTCCATGTAGCTCAGCACTGCTTGTACTATGGCATCCTCTACCACCCACTGCAAGGAAGCAACGACAACGACTGCCCTGTTACCTCTGATGAGTTGGTTCGTTGTTGGGTGGCTGAGCTGCTCTTCTCAACAAGACGCACCACCAAGTTGGAAAGGTCGTGATTCAAGCCTTGCTCACTGGTGAAGAATTCAGTAGGTCTGCATATGAAGTTGTCTGATGGTGTCCCCCGGCTCAAAAAAGACGAACTAGCTAACCATCATCAGAAGAGCAACCAACTAAGATGGGTCTCATTTATGAATAATGATGGTAGGCATGTAAGCTGGAATTGGCTATGGAGGCAAACCAGAGCACCAGGATTGGTCTTATCTATGAATGATGATGGAAGATGGGATTGGGGGTAAAGGGAAACACGAGATATTATGATGACAACCCTAATTTTGAGAGGCTGTTCAAATATGTCAACATTTCGTCTTGATAAATTGCTCACCCCACACCTCCGTGTCCTTGATTTGTCCTACACTCCTACACACCTATAAATTCACTCCCTCCTTCATTTTCCCATCTACAAAATCTCTACTTGCTCTCGCTCAGAGGCTGCTCCCAGTTAGAGACGACCTTGTCTCCATCGCCAACTAGTTCTAATAATTCTGACAAACAAACATCACCACTTACTCATCTCGGAAACCTTCAAGTCCTAGATATGAATGGGGTTCCCTTGCTTGAGCTAACAAAACAAGATGGCAGCAATAAGAGCAATCTGCACTACCTTGATCTATTAGGCTCAAAATTCACCACTCTGCCTACTGAATTCTTCTGTGAAATGGCAAGCCTTGAGGAGCTCATTCTCAGGAATTGCTCCAATCTCAAAGAATTACCTCCTTCCATGGCTCGACTATCAAATCTCTTGATTCTTCATGTCGAGGGGTCCCAAATTACATCTTTTCCAGAAGACATGTTCCAAGCAATGAGAAGCCTGGATACACTCAAGCTAATCAACAACGTGCTACTGATGTCATTACCAATGTCCCTGTCTGAAGCCACAGGCCTCAAACAGCTCCATATTTGTGACTGCATTAGATTAATGTCAATCCCGTGGTCATGGTCAAAAGCCAAATGCCTCAGAGAGCTACATCTTTCTAATTGTGCTGGCTTAAGCCGTGAGTTTCTCCAGGAACTGGTACCGTGCCTCGAAGATCTTTACATACAAACATGGAAATCCTTAGAAAGTATCAAAATCCATGGGCATCCAAACCTGAGAATGTTCTCACTCTCTGGACCGTGGATTAGGTGCCTGTCCTTGCGTGGGTGCAGCAAGCTCAAAATTCTCAACTTGGTTGATGATCTTACAGCCTTGGAAGATGTTGATATTTCTGAAACAGGTCTTGAGGAGGTCCCTCGCAACCTCCCAAATCTACCACAACTCAGGAGGTTACTTCTTCTTGGAGTCCCTTATTTCAAGAGATTTCCATGGCATCTGTTGGTCCGCTTTCCCAAGATTTTCTATTTGGATCATTGTGCAGATGATGATAATCAATTTCATAAGAAGTTTTGCCAGCAGACATTTTCTACAGGCGGAGATCAACAAAGGGAGATAGCTACCAATACAGTTGTCGTAAAGTAATCTGCTGCTCTCCCATCTCTGAACACACGGTAGGGGCAGGCACCGAAAGAGCTCCCTGCTGCTGCAATGTAGCCGCGGCAGGGGCAGGCACCGAAAGGCTCCCCTGACACACTATAGCCACAGCAGGGCCAGGCGCCAAAGTTAACCCTGCAGTCACATCTAGTCACGGTAGCAGCATAACAGCCTAGCATGTCTGTGTACTAGGATTAGATGGGTAGAGTTGTATATGTAGCTTCCCACTGCAACTCAATAAAGTGAGCGAGTTCCGTTTTGCCATCTCCTCTGCAGAGCTCCGACCAACGCTGGTGCTTGTGCTGTGTGTGTGCACTCTGTTCTCCCTCCCTCTTCTACCTCTAGCCATACTGTGTGTGGTCAACAACGACGGTGAGTAGTCGGCTCACCTGCACGGGAGATCTCAGGACCAACAAATGGTATCAAAGCTGTACAAGCGCCGCCGCCGGACTAACCACTGGTGATGATGGACGGTTTGGAGACGAGCGACAGCAACGGCGCTGCTGTGGCTGCCCAGCCACGATAGGAGGTCATCATGTGCACCGTGCGGGAGGTCAGTGACACCAGTTGACCGACGCTGACTCGCACCAACTATGACGAGTGAGTGGTGACCATGAAGGTCAAGCTCAGAGCCCGATGACTCTGAAATACCATTGACAAGGGCACCGACAACGAAGATGATGACATGTCAGCGTTGGAGGCTATTCTCACTGTTGTGCTAGTGGAGTACAGGGAGCCGTTGGGGGTGAAGAACTCTGCTAAGGAGGCATGGGAGGCCATTGCAGCGATGCATGTCGGTTCCGACCGCGCAAAGAAGGCGACGGCCCAGCTGCTGAAGTAGGAGTATGCCAACCTCAAGTTCAAGGATGGTGAGTCGGTGGAGGGCTTCTCCCTCTGTATGCAGTCGCTTATCAGCAAGCCGAGGAGCCACGACATCACCATCGACGAAGAAGAGGCGGTCTCCAAGTACCTCCACTCCGTGCCGATGAAGTACATCCAGATCGCTCTCTCCATAGAGACGATGCTGGACTTGTCCACCCTCACCATTGAGGATGTGATAGGCCGTCTGTCGGCGGTGGACGAGCGCATAGAGCAGGCCACAACAATGACGGATCACGCACCCAAGTCAACCTCGAACGTGTGGGCGGCGAGCAAGAGCAACGGTGGTACCTAGACTCCGACGCCAGCAACCACATGATGGGCTCTAAGAAAGCCTTCTCTAAGCTCGATGGCAACATGACCGGCACGGTGAAGTTCGGTGACGGCTCAAGGGTGATGATCTGAGGGCGCAACACCATCATCTTTAGGTGCCAGAATGGCGAGCACCATGCGCTGATGGATGTATGTTACATCCCACTGCTGCGTTCAAGCATCATCAGCATTGGCCAGCTAGATGAGCGCGGCAGCGAGGTACTGATCAATGACAGCGTCCTCAGGATCAAGGACCAGGAGCAGCGCCATCTTGCCAAGGTGAAGAGGTCACAAAACCGGCTGTACCTGCTCGACTTGAAGGTGGAGCAGCTGGTGTGCCTGGTAGCATGGCACACCGAGGAGCCGTGGTTGTGGCATGCCCAATTTGGCCATCTCAGTTTCGATGCGCTCGGTCGGTTGGAGAAGATGGTCCAAGGGCTGCCCCACATCAAGCATGTAGGCAAGCTGTGTGATAGCTGCCTGGCTAGGAAGCAGAGGAGGCTGTCGTTCCTAAAGGCGGCCAAGTATCGCACGGTGGATACTCTCGAGCTCATCCACGATGATCTCTGTGGGCCAATCACCTAGCCACAAACGGTGGTTGGCGGTATTTCCTCCTGCTCATGGATGATTGCATTTGCTATATGTGGCTGCAACTTCTGACAAGCAAGGACAAGGCAGTGGAGGTGATCAAGAAGTTCAAGGCATGAGCGGAGGTGGAGAGCGGCAAGAAGCTATGCGTGCTATGGACTGATGCGGCGGTGAATTCACTTCGGTGGAGTTCGCTGCGTACTGCGTGGATCAGGGTGTGGTGCGACACCACACCACGCCGTACTTGCCATAGCATAATGGCATGGTGGAGCGGCGGAACCAAACAGTGGTCGGCATGGCTCGATCCATGATGAAGTCCAAGAGCATACTGGCAAGGTTCTGGGGTGAGGCGGTGACCACGACGGTGTTCATCCTCAACCGTGCGCCCACAAAGGCCCTAAAGGGCGTGACGTCGTTCGAAGCTTGGTATGGGTGTAAGCCGAGCGTGTCCTTCCTCTAGACATTCAGCTGCATTGGCCATGTCAAGAAGACGAAGCCGGTCCTCACCAAGCTAGAGGACAGGAGCACACCGATGGTGCTCCTGGGTTACGAGGAAGGTACCAAGGTGTACTGGCTCTACGACCCATGCGGAGGCAAGGTGGTTGTCTCGTGCGATGTTATGTTTGACGAGAAGGCGGCCTGGGACTAGGACAGTCCGGGCACGGATGAAGTTGGCGGCTTCACCAGCACCTTGGTCATCCACGGTTGTCGAGACGCTAGAGAGGAGGTGCAGATCGCTCTAGCAACTAAGCCAAGCACTCCGAGTGGGGTGCTGAGCACTCTGGGAGGGGTACCGAGCACACCAGCAGTGGTGCCGACCACTCTAGGACGGGTGCTAAACGCTCCTGTAGCGGAGCCAAGAGGTCTTGCAGTGGTGCGGACCACTCTAATACTGGTGTCGAGCACTCCTGGAGCGGTGCTGAGCACTCCGAGAGGGGTGCCGAGCACTATAGCAGTGGTGCCGAGCACTACAGCTGGGGTGCCGAGCACTCCAGGTGCTGTGCCGACCACTCCAGCGGAACAGGGGACTGCATGGATGCTGATCAAGTTCGCTTTACCTCCAAGTGACATCACAGAGTTCGTGGATGCTTTCCACAATGGTGAGGAGGTGCGGTTTTATAGGCTAGATGACATTATCAGTGGCACAGGGTCCTTAGGCCTGGCAGGTCGGCTGCTCAATGATCTAGAGCTGCTTCTCGTCAGTGTAGAGGAACCACCCATGTTCACGCAGGTCGAGTGCTATGTAAATTGGCAATGGGCGATGCTAGAGGAGATGAAGGTGATCGAAGGAAATGAGACTTGGGAGCTCATCAATCCACCTCTAGAATGCTGTTCGATCGGTCTGAAGTGGTTGTACAAGGTCAAGCGAGACGAGCGCAGTTTCATTGTCAAGCACAAGGCGCACCTCATCGCCCAAGGCTTTGTCCAGCGTGAGGGCATCAACTTCGAGGAAGTCTTTGCACCGGTAGCGTGCATGGAGTCTATACGAATGCTGCTAGCTTTGGCAGCAGTGAAGGACTAGCACGTCCATCACTTGGATGTAAAATTGGCCTTCCTCAATGGCGAGCTGGTGGAGACGGTCTTCGTCAGGCAACCTCAGGGTTTCACTATCAAGGGAGCGGAGCACAGGATGCTCCGACTGCACAAGGCACTCTACGGGATGCGGTAGGCCCTGCGAGTGTGGAATGCTAAGCTTGATGCCACGCTGGGCGAGCTTGGGTTCACACGGTGTGCAACTGAGCACGCACTCTACACACAGCAATGGGGAAGGAGGAGCTCATCATTAGCGTGTATGTGGATGACTTGATCATCACCGGTGTGCGTGCAGAGGACATCGACAGCTTCAAGCGTGAGATGGCGGCTCATTTTCAAATGAGCGATCTCGGCGCACTCTCCTACTACCTCGGCATCGAGGTGAGATAGGGGAAGGAGGCTATCAGTGTTTTGAGTAAACACCAACGAGTAAATTTATATTATTACGCGTCTGACCCGGATGGTGTGCTAAAAAGACACAAGGTTTATACTGATTCGGGAAGAATGTCCCTATGTCCAGTTCATGGTAGCTGCTCGTGTTATTTGCACTGAAAAGTTCATAGTAGGGGGTACAAACTGGCGAGAGAGGGACAGATCCCAAGTCTCTGATGGAAATGTCTAACGGGCGCTGAGAGCTTAGATGCTGCTCAGCTATGTGGTGTGATGTCTTGAAATCAATTGGTCCCCTTAGTGGGGTGTCCCACCTCTCATTTTATAGACCAAGGGGAAGCAGGGATTATAGATTGGAGAAAAAAGAAAAACCAGAGTCCTTTAAAGATGTCGGGTCTTCCTTTTCCTCTGAGCGAGCCCTGCTGACATGGCAAATGGTACCAGGGATAGCTCCATGCGGGGTGCATGTCTGCTCATCCTGATAGGGCCATGCTCTAGCTTTGTCAGCAAGTGATCATGTCCCATCCCGCCCCTACGGGCGGCACATCGAACAAGGGTGCTGATCCGTGACCCTACGGGGAGCAGACGGCGTAGTGACCCCACGTCCATTACCGTAGTGGTTGTCGTATGCTTCCGTCAGGATCCGTGCCCGAGGGCAAATGCCGGCACCCATAACACTATAAGACAAATGTCGGTGCCCACAACACTGTTCGGGCTCTGACATGCTTGGAAGGGCTTAAAGCGCTTGTCGTATCATATCCTGACGGTACTTTCCTGTAGGCATGCAGGGTATGGTCATTGGTATTGCGGTTGACTTGAGTGCCCCTCCTTATTTGCGCGCATAATTATGAAGGAGCAACGTAGTCATCGGGCGAGGTGGAGCCAGCCGTCAGATGTTGGGTGAGGCGGAGCCTGCCCTCGAATGTTGGGCAAGGCGGAGCCAGCCCTCGGGAGTCGAGCGAGGTGGAGCCAGCCCTTGGACATCGAGCGAGGCAGAGCCAGCCCTCAGATGCTAGGCGAGGCGGAGCCAGCCCCGAGGGTCGAGCAAGGCCGAGTCTTCCCTCAGACATCGGGCGAGGCGGAGCCAGCCCTTGGACATCGGGCGAGGCAGAGTCAGCCCTTAGGGGTTAGGCAAGGCGAAGCCCGCTCTCAGGGGTTGGGCTAGGCAGAGCCAACCTTTGGGAGTCGG